GTGCTCCCGGGATGGGCCAAATAGGGTGCGGTATGTGCCTCTGATAAAATCTCCTTCCGCAACGCCTCGACCTTCGGAACCACGATCCTGCCTCTGAATTCCAAGGCACCATCGGCACCTAACTGAAAATCCTGGACGCCTCCGGCGTGAACCTTGGCCTCCATGACACGAACAAACTCGTCAGAAGCCTGCTCTTGTCGGATTCTCTCTCTCAGTGTCGGCTGAAGCTGCATAGCACTGACACTTGCACTAGTACTCCCCGAGACAGCTATGGGAAGCGTATCAATCGCCTGAAGTTGCATCCAGGAAAACTCCTGAATCAACGGACTCTGCTGCGTAATGACGTACGTCAAGTCACCCTTCACCTTTCGGCTTAGGGCATCTGCGACGACGTTCGCCTTTCCTGGATGGTACTGGATAAAACAATCATAATCCTTGACAAGCTCAAGCCAACGGAGCTGCCTTATATTAAGCTCCTTCTGCGTGAAGATGTACTGCAGACTCTTATGGTCTGTGAAAATCTCGCAGCGTCCGCCACAAAGATAATGACGCCAGATCTTCAGAGCATGAACGACGGCAGCTAACTCTAAGTCGTGAGTAGGATAGTTCTGCTTATGAGGCTTAAGCTGACGTGAAGCATACGCAACGACCTGTCCGTCCTGCATAAGGACACATCCCAAGCCCTGCCTCGAAGCATCGCTGAAGATAGTGAAACTCCGAGAAGGATCGGGAATAGTCAACACCGGTGCTGAAGTTAATCTCCTCTTGAGCTCCTGAAAGCTCGCCTCACATCGATCAGTCCACTCGAACTTCACAGAATTCCTCGTCAGCTGGGATAGAGGGAGGGCGATCTTGGAAAAGCCCTCGATGAACCTGCGATAGTAACCAGCTAAACCGAGAAAACTGCGAACCTCGGACGGACTCCTCGGTGTCGACCAGTTCTGAACGGCTGAAACCTTCGAAGGATCCACCTCGATACCTGCCTGAGTAATCACATGACCCATAAAAGATACTCGCTGAAGCCAGAACTCACATTTGGAGAATTTGGCGTATAACTTTTCTCGTCTGAGGGTTTCAAGAACCACCCTCAGATGCTCCTCGTGCTTCTTCTGGCTCTTCGAGTAGATAAGGATATCGTCAATAAAGACAATAACGAACTGATCGAGGTAGGGATAAAAAATACGGTTCATGAGGTCCATGAAAACAGCTGGTGCATTGCTGAGACCAAAAGGCATGACGACGAACTCGTAATGGCCGTAACGAGTCCTGAAAGCGGTCTTAGCGATATCTGACTCCTTAATATTCAGCTGGTGGTAGTCTGATCGTAAATCAATCTTTGAAAATACACAGGCTCCCCTCAACTGATCAAATAAGTCGTCGATCCTGGGAAGCGGGTACTTATTCTTGATCGTCAACCGGTTAAGATCCCGGTAGTCGATACACATACGCATAGATCCGTCCTTCTTCTTAACAAAGAGAACGGGTGCTCCCCAAGGTGACACGCTCGGTCGGATAAAACTGAGTCGTAATAGCTCCTGAATCTGAGTCTTAAGCTCCTGCAACTCCTTAGGCGCCATGCGATATGGGGCTTTGGATACTAGACCGGCCCCTGGAATAAGATCGATGGAAAAATCCACCTGACGGTTGGGCGGACCTCCTGGAAGCTCGTCTGGGAACACGTCCACAAACTCGCGAACGATTGGAACATCATGAGGTGTCCGCGCTTTCTGAGAATCTTCGACAAGGCTTACCAGATAACCCTGGCAGTTGCCTCGTCGCAACAACTTAGTGGCTTTCGCCATCGAAACAACTTGAGGCAGTGAACGGTTCTTGGAGCCGAAGAAAGTAATCGACTCGTCTCCCGGAAGATAAAGAGTGATCTC